ATAAACACTGGGGTGCCCCTTCAAAACAGCACACCTGTATCCCTTGGATAAATACCTAGTAGTGCAATTGTTCGGTCATAAGGTAGTTCTATTTTTAATTTTTTGAGGTACCTCCATACTCTTTTCCAAAGTGGCTGCACCAGTTTGCATTCCCACCAGCAGTGCAAAAGAGATCCTCTTTCTCCGCATCCTCGCCAACATCTGTTGTTGCCTGAGTTGTTAATGTTAGCCATTGCCATTCTGACAGTTGTGAGGTGTTATCTCATTGTGGTTTTGATTTGTATTTTCCCCTGATGATGAGTGATGTTGAGCATTTTTTCATGTGTTGGCCATCTGGATGTTTTCCTTGGAGACATTTTGCCTGTTTTGTTCATGTCTTTTGCCCATTTCTTCACTGGATTATTTGGTTTGGGGGTATTGAGTTTGCTAAGTTCTTTATAGACTTTGGATACTAACCCTTTATCTGACATGTCATTTGCAAATATCTCCTCCAATTCCATTGGTTGCCTTTCAGTTTTGCTGATTGTTTCCTTCTCTGTGCAGAAGCTTTTTATTTTGAGGAGGTCCCAATAATTCATTTTTGCTTTTGTTTCCCTTGCCTCCAGAGATGTGTTGAGTAAGAAGTTGCTGTGGCCAAGATGAAAGAGGTTTTTGCCTGCTTTCTCCTTGAGGATTTTAATGGCTTCCTGTCTTACATTTAGGTCTTTCATCCATTTTGAGTTTATTTTTGTGTATGGTGTAAGAAAGTGGTCCAGATTCATTTTTCTGCATGTCGCTGTCCAGTTTTCCCAGCACCACTTGCTGAAGAGACTGTCTTTATTCCACTGAATATTTTTTCCTGCTTTGTCAAAGATTAGTTGTGCATATGTTTGTGGGTCCATTTCTGGGTTCTCTATTTTGTTCCATTGATCTGAGTGTTCTTGTGCCAGTACCATGCTGTCTTGATGATTACAGCTTTGTAGTACAACTTGAAGTCTGGGATTGTGATGCCTCCTGCTTTGGTTTTCTTTTTCAAGATTGCTTTAGCTACTCAGGGTCTTTTCTGGTTCCATACAAATTTTAGGATTGTTTGTTCTATCTCTGTGAAGAATACTGGTGTTATTTTGATAGGGAGAAGTAACTTTTTGTTTTTTAATTGAAGTATCATTGACATGATTACTTTCTTTTTTAAGAGTCCCTATATTTTAGAGCTAAATTCAGAAATATTTACCAATGAATGTATATGACGTCTGTCTGGAGTTTGCTTCAAAATAATCCAGAGGGAGAGGAGAAGTAAGTGGAGGCATAAATAATTGGCCATGAGTGGGAAATTGTTGAACCTGGGTGATAGGTTCATAGGAGCTCATTATATATTCTCTCTACTTTTCTTATATGTTTGAAATTTTTAGAATAAAATTAAAAGTAAATAAAAAGACAGCCTGTGTATCTATTGCTACAAAACTAATTACCTCACAACCTAGTAATTTAAAACAAACATTTATTATCTAAGTTTCTGTAGGTCAGAAATCTGGCACAGCTTATGCTGGTGTGTCTGGTTCAGGGTCTCACAAGGCTGCAGAACTACAGGTATCCCAGTCTTGAGGGGTTGGAGGATCTGCTTCCAAGCTCATTCGTGTGGCTGTCGATCAGCCGCTCCTTGTGGCAGTTCACAAGGGGCAGCTGGCTTCCCACAGAGCAAGTGATGAGAAACACACACACACACACACACACACACACACACACCCCTACCAAAACAGGAAATGCAGTCTTTAATAATATAATCTCAGGAGTGATATACCATCACTTCTGAATATTCTGTTCGTCACACAGACCAACCCTAGTGAAATGTGGGAGCGGACTGTACAAGGGTCTGAACAGCAGAAGGTGGGATCATTGACAGCCATTTTGGAGGCAGGCTACCATACATGGTGCATAAGGCAAAAACGGAGTGCTGTCCAAATTATTCTTGAAAATCCTGTAAATAACCTATAAAGCATAGAAGACAGATATACCAGTGCACAAGCCCAATACTGCCAGTTTTTCCTCTAGTGCTGGAACACTTCACTGTTTTGTTGAGTGCCAGATAAAGTTGTTGGCTTGAATTAGGGACCATGGGCATTCCAAAAATAAATATACTTAAACCCTAAAATCACATTTGGCCATGCCATGAGCATGTATAGTTAAATTCAAGTAAATTAAATGCATTATGATGGGATTCTAATGCATTGTTAGAGTGGGAAAGCTTTTGTCTTGGTGACATCTGCCATTTAGGTCCATTTTGCTGACTCTCTTTGTTTCAGCTCTGCAGTAATAAAGCAGCTGTCTGATTAAAATTTGGCTTCCCAGGGGCGCCTGAGTGGCTCAGTCCGTTAGGCATCCGACTTCGGCTTAGGTCATGATCTCAAGGTTTGTGAGTTCGAGCCCCATGTCGGGTTCTGTGCTGACAGCTCAGAGCCTGGAGCCTGCTTTGGATTCTCTGTCTCCTTCTCTCTCTGTCCCTACCCAACTTGTGCTCTGTCTCTCTCTGCCTCTCAAAAATAAATAAATGTAAAAAAAATTTTTTAATACAATTTGGCTTCCCAAACATATATGCAAATGCTGAAAAAAATGCTCTGCTCTAATCCATTCCATGATTATTACATTTCTCATTATAATATTAAAAATTGGTATTCTGGCTTTATACATCAGTCTCTATGCACTAGGTAAATGTGAGTCTGCATCTGAAAGATAGATTCACTCTTGGTACATTTACATAATAGGCTTCTGAGCCTGCACCCCTGTGCCCCTGGACTATGATGAATTTACCCTAGTAATGCCACTCTAGGGGGTACCGTCTGAGTGACCTAAAAATCTTCCCCAGGTGTGGCAGCTATATTCACCATACACAGCACATATCCATGAGCTCCCCCACATTTCTCAGTTCCCTTGCTCTTAGATGGTGTATGTGACCAGTTCTGACCAATAAGCTGTGAACAGAATTGACACCTATCATTTCTGAGCCAAACATAGTGAGATTTCCATGCACTCTTTCCTCCTGCTGCAGCAACCATGGAGGCCACATGTTGAAATAGCAGAATGCAAAATCAGACTAAAAGTACACTTATCAAGGGGCGCCTGGGTGGCCCCGTCAGTTAATCGTCCAATTCTTGATTTCAACTCAGGTCATGATCTCACAGTTCATGGAAACAAGCCCTGAGTTGGACTCTGCGCTGACAGCATGCAGTCTGCTTGGGATTCTCTCTCTCTCTCTCCCTCTCTCATTGCCCCTCCCCTGTTGGTGTGCTCTCTCTCTCTCTCTCTCAAAATAAATAAACATTTTTTTAAGTACACTTATCGTGATAGGCCCTGAGTATAAATAATTGTTGAATTGCTATATTGCATACCTGAAACTAAAACAACACTAATATAATTATACTGGAATTTTAAAAATAAATAAATTTTTTAAAAAAGAACTTAGCATATATTTGGGAGATAAAATTCAGACCCTTTCAACTATGCATTTATATAAAATCATTCATACAATTCAGTCCCAGGTTGAGAAAACTACACTCTGTGAAAACCCTCCAGTGATTCTCACCCTTGGTGTCATACTGATGAATTGTGATAAACTGTGAGATGTGTGGCAAGTCACTGGTTACTCATTAAGTTAAAACCCTGAAGCTAGGGAATTGTTTACTTCATTGGAAATTAGGGGAAAATCAAGATTACTGCTATAATAAATTCACTGTCACATGCCTTAACAAAAAGAAATAAAAATAGAAAACATGGTAGCAGTAAGGTGACAAAAATTGGGACACTACAGGAATTTCTAACTCATTAGCTTACAGTTTCTGAGATGGCTGAGAATTGCCATCAATGAGATCACCTGAAACAAACACTTAATGACTTGAAAAAGTCCCCATCCCAAAGTCACTTATAGGTATCCAATATTATAGATGTCACTGAATTGAAATTCATGTTAAAACTAATTTTATTAAAATAAGAGAATAAAGCCTTTTTAAGTTATCACTCTAAATCTATATATCAAGATAAAGGTATTATATTACTTTTAGTATTTAATTTTACTACCACTCTAGTACACATACATTTCTTGAAATTTCTGGGGGTTTTGGTTATTCTATGTCCTGATTTTTAGTTATTGAACATGAGTGTGTCCCAATAAGGGAGTAATTTTTTAGATGCATTAAAATGACTCCTAATCTTACCCTCTGACACATATGAACAGCTTTCGCCTTTTTATCTTCATGACGCATACTCGTCCATATAAATTCATACTATTCATAGACATAGCATAACATTGCTAACATTTTATAGTCCGCTGTAATTTCCTTTCTTAGCACTATATCATGAGATATTTTTCTATATTTACACATAGTTATTAGGTCTTTTTAATGTCTGCAAAATATTCTATCAGATACTCGCACCTAAGTTTAAATGGTTTGATCTTACTCCTCATAAATTTGTTCCTCATTCTGTGATTGGTAGTCTTAATCAAAGGTGACGACATTAGTCTTCATTACTGGTTACTTACATTTCAAATATGGGTAGAGGCGAAACTCCATTAGTTAATTAGTCAGGAAGCATTATTAAATTTCCATTAAAATATCTTCATTTTTCTATTTCTAACCTGAGGATTAATTTATGCGTGAATTTGGTAAAAGCATCCTCTCACATTTCTTTTTACGCAGAAAATACTTAGTCATTCAAAATAGCAGCATGGAACCACAACCACCTCTAAGCTGTCAGAGTGCCCTCTAAAACAATAGCAGTGCCACCTCTAATGTCAACTCGTCCATCAGGACGCAGTGAAATCTCCAGTTCTCCTCCTCGGCAGGAACACTGAAAGGCTAAAGAAAACATAATACAAGTCACAAATTAATATTGTTTGTTTCCACCCTTTTTAATTAACATAACATAGTGAAAGACCTCTTATTGTAAGCTCTAGAATCTTCCCAGCTCAGTTTAAAATAAATTCCTTCATCTGTCCACAGTACTGCCCTGCCCTGTTCTCCTGAGCACTGAGGAATCACAAACACAACTGATCCACAAAACACACAGCTCCACATCTTTTCTTCCTGAGCCATTTCCTCTATCACTTCCTGTAATGTCCCAGATACACTCCACCTATAGCTTCCTCCCTGCTTTTATCCAGGAGTAAACAAGGAAATGTGATAAGATAGAGGCATGGACTAGAAGTCTAAGAAGATAAAGAGGGGTCATCTTGGCCCTCCTGAGAGAGCCTCATCTTCCTGAACCTAAAGAGGACAGAGGGAGTTTGTTCACTAATTGTGCTTATCAAGCAACCACACGTCAGGCAAACAAGAGGCACAGCC